ACGGTGTCACCCTTCATGGTGAGGTATTCACACTTCACAGTGTAAGGTGAAGTATTCACTTCTCATTCCATCAAATGTCACGTGTTCTGTAATTACCTGCTATTTTTAGACATGTCGCTGCCTTACGTGAGCACCAGGTAACACGGCACACCTGTACGGCTGAGATGCCGCCATGCTCGGTACTCATTTGTGCTGAGTCGGGCGGGTTACGGTAATTTCACCCCATACCTTAAGCAGTTGTCGTACGAAAAATTCCACAAGCAATGTTGTGTGCAAAATAAAAGTAAGACGCTAAGGAAGTTGCTATTGATAAACAATCGTTTTTGTTTTTATTAACAACGAAGTTCAAATTAAACCCACATTTTTAAAATGCAGGCGTCTTTATGTAATTAACAGTAGTGGTTCTTGTTAGATTTGACTACAGTTAACATAAACAACATCAACTACTTGGTGTTTGTATCCACTGCATCATAATGTGTAAATAACGCTTTTGGTGTGTACGTGGCCTATACATCAAAATATTATATAAACAAAGATACGATACAACTTGTGTATCTGATCTTTTAACGAGACTTCATCGTGAAATCACACAAGACGATCGACTTGAGATCACACAATACTTCAACGTGAGATCACACAATACTTCAACGTGAGATCACACAATACTTCAACGTGAGATCACACAATACTTCAACGTGAGATCACACAATACTTCAACGTGAGATCACACGAGAAGATCAGTGTGAAATCACACAAGACGATCGACTTGAGATCACACAACACGATCAACGTACATTTATGCCGATGACTACCCTCGTATTTTCTCCCACTTGATTGCTGCCGATGACGAGCATAAATTCAATACCGTTAAGCTTATAAATCCATGCAGATCCTGGTTGAAATTCAGACGTGGTTTCAAGTACTGGCCGTCTGCAATTTGAAGATGATTCCCTGATCCAACTGAGCGTAATGTGTCTCGGGGAGGGGTGGGGGGGGGGGGGGGGGGAGAATCTTTTGTCATGTTGATGTCTGGCTACAAAAAATAAACATTGAAAATTTGCATATCTGAATATCTCAACGTTGTAAAATCTCGAGTCGACTCTTGTTGCGGACTCGTTGACGAAGGAAATCTTTCGGCATTTCAAGAGCTGGAGTTGAAGGATTATTTCAGGAAGATCATTTGATGATCTTCTGATGTAGATCTTTGAAGGGAGATCATTTTAGAATGTTTCATGACAGAGAAGACATGAGTCCACTGAATGTCTGCGGGGTAGGGGAGTGTGTCTCAAGTTGAACTTCACAGATTTTTTGGACAACCGGCTGTTGCTGCCTGCCATACGATGTCGATCTAAGAATAATTCTAATATAAAGCTGTAACGTGTATAGCATTGTTGTTGTACGCTGTTGTATATCATATTTATTATATCCTTTTTTTCATATTAATATTCGTGTTTGGGTTTACTGATGACGGAATTCATCAAAGTGTGATAATATTCAAATGATACAAATGTAATGAACTTATTGGTGTGCGATCATCATCAGACGGTACAGCAATGTAAAATGTTTTCCGCCTGTTAGTTAGCCTGTGTTGGTTGAAACGGAAACTGTGAGCAGCTGTAGATAGACGTGACGTGTCACTTGGTCAAATATGCGGGTCGTGTAGACGTGTTACTGCATGGCACGGAGCTGGGGGGTGTTTATTGCAGGTTCAGGGGGTGGGGTGGGGTGGGGTGTAGAGGTTTTAGTTGCAGGTTTAGTTGGGGGTGGGAAGGTAGAGGTTTTAAATGCACGGTCACTTGGGGGTGGAGGTGTAGAGGTTTTAGATGCAGGTTCAGTTGTACGGGGGTAGAGATTTTCAGTTGCAGATTCAATTGGGGAAAGAGAGGTTTTAGATGCGGATTCAACCGGTGGGGGGATGAGTGGGATCTGGGAGGCTTTATGTGTTCATTTGTTGGGTGTGAGGGAGAGATGGTGACGTTTCAAGTTGTTATGTTGTTACTGTTTTAAATCTCTAGCTACTAGATAGTCGTTCTTGATTTTGACGCTAGTGTTGCCAGACTCGCCATGTGACCAAGTAACCTGCACATGGAGGAATGGGTCAAATATTGTGTTGGTCAGTTACATCTGAGGTGTGACCAGCCACGTATAAGACAAGACCACCCACATATGTGAGATGTGACCAGCCACACAACTAAGATGTGACCAGCCACACAACTAAGATGTGACCAGCCACACAACTAAGATGTGACCAGCCACACAACTAAGATGTGACCAGCCACACAACTAAGATGTGACCAGCCACACAACTAAGATGTGGTCAGCTAAGACCTGTTGACCAATGCCCTAATATAGCTGGCACGTCTCAGCTTATCTCGACTAGTCAACAGCACACACAAAGCCTCGGTTCAAATTGTCAAAGAGCCGAGCGGCCGCTTGTCACACTACACGACCCCGCCCTTGTGTAACCTGATAACGGCGGAGTTATCGCCCATGTTGGATTGTTCATAAACGCCCTAGCTGGGTCGGGTAATTGAATGCTCACCCCCACACACCCCCATAACCCACTTGCTCACTAATACTTCGCACACAAAACCTCACACGTGCACTGTGGAATGAGCTTATCAAAACAAAGACACGACTATTCCTGTTAAGCTTAACACATTGTAACAATATAGGATGCTTCGTATTTTCAATAACTTGGTAGACTTTCAGGGCAAATTTAAATTCACATTCCTGTCTAGCGTACAAATTTCTATTGTTCTCATTAAACCCTGCAACGCTATATCAGCTCAATAACTCATCCGGTATTTTGTTGGTTTGTCTCATTATATTAGCCGCCGTGTTATAAGTTTGTCTCACTAAAATACCCGCCGTTGTGTAACTTTATATCACCAACTCATCCGCTATTTTATTGTAACCCGTTTTGTAGTAAATAATACCAAATATACCCGCAGTTTTGTAAGGTATCACTAAAATACCCGCAGATTTGTAAGGTCTCACTAAAATACCCGCAGATTTGTAAGGTCTCACTAAAATACCACACAGTTTTGTAAGAACTCACTAAAATACCCGCAGTTTTTTAAGGTCTCACTAAAATACCCGCAGGTTGTAAGGTCTCACTAAAATACCCGCAGTTGTGTAAGATCTCACTAAAATACCCGCAGTTGGTAAGTTCTCACTAAAATACCCGCAGGTTGTAAGGTCTCACTAAAATACCCGCAGGTTGTAAGGTCTCACTAAAATACCCGCAGGTTGTAAGGTCTCACTAAAATACCCGCAGATTTGTAAGGTCTCACTAAAATACCCGCAGATTTGTAAGGTCTCACTAAAATACCACACAGTTTTGTAAGAACTCACTAAAATACCCGCAGTTTTTTAAGGTCTCACTAAAATACCCGCAGGTTGTAAGGTCTCACTAAAATACCCGCAGTTGTGTAAGATCTCACTAAAATACCCGTAGTTTTGTAAGAGCTCACTAAAATAACCACAGTTTTGTAAGGTATCACTAAAATACCACACAGTTTTGTAAGGTCTCACTAAAATACCCGCAGTTGGTAAGTTCTCACTAAAATACCCGCAGTTTTGTAAGGTCTCACTAAAATACCCGCAGTTGGTAAGTTCTCACTAAAATACCCGCAGTTTTGTAAGGTCTCACTAGAATACCCGCAGTTTTTTAAGGTCTCACTAAAATACCCGCAGTTATGTTAGGTCTCACTAAAATACCCGCAGTTGGTAAGGTCTCACTAAAATACCCGCAGTTTTGTAAGGTCTCACTAAAATATCCGCAGTTATGTTAGGTCTCACTAAAATGCCCGCAGTTGGTAAGGTCTCACTAAAATACCCGCAGTTTTGTTAGGTCTCACTAAAATACCCGCAGTTGGTAAGGTCTCACTAAAATACCCGCAGTTTTGTAAGGTCTCACTAAAATATCCGCAGTTATGTTAGATCTCACTAAAATACCCGCAGTTGGTAAGGTCTCACTAAAATACCCGCAGTTTTATAAGTTGTCTCTTCTCAGAGTTCAAGCTCTGATTTGACACTAAGAGTGCAACCATTTTAGTACTATCTCTTCATAAGCTCCCCCACACAGCAATTGTCTGTGATAAGCCTTTAATTCCATGAGATCTCTGCACCTTTCATCTCTTCTCTTTCCTGTTCCTTGCATACCTCACGTTGTTAGTGCAGTGGTTCTCAAATTGTTGTCAGCATGACTCAAGGTTTTGGGCGTGACTTCAAAGTTTTTACCATGATTAAAGCGAGTGGTTTGGGAACTGATGGAATTCAAAACGGAGCAATTTTTTTAGTTCGATAAATCGTTTTTCCTCCGATGTCATGAGGGCCAAGAGTGCAAATTTCTTGGGAACCTCAATTGTGATGTCTACAAGGGACTTTATGTATTGTGTTGGTTTACTTTGTTGGTGCACTTTGATCTTAGCTGATGTGGGGTTGGTGATTTCAGTGGGGTTTCTGGGTGTGGGTTGGACGGAAAAGGGTGTGTTTTGTGGAATGTGTGTTGTCGTGTGTGGGCTACTGTGTGGTGTGTATTCTATCATGTTGTGTGTGTATGCTACTGCTCGATGTGTATGCTACTGCTCGGTGTGTATGCTACTGCTCAGTGTGTATGCTACTGCTCAGTGTGTATGCTACTGCTCAGTGTGTATGCTACTGCTCGGTGTGTATGCTACTGCTCAGTGTGTATGCTACAGCTCGGTGTGTATGCTACTGCTCGGTGTGCATGCTACTGTTTGGTGTGTATGATACTGTTTGGTGTGTATGCTACTGTACAGTGTGTATGCTACTGTACAGTGTGTATGCTACTGTGTAGTGTGTATGATACTGTGTTGTGTGTATACTACTGTGTTGTGTACGCTACTGTTTGGTAATGTGGCTACTGTCACATATGTTAATACAGTTGTCTTTATACTTCAGATCTGAGGTCTCAGATCATCCAACAATGTTCGGAATATCTTATTAAGTATTTTTGCTTTTTTAAATTTCAGGTGAAGGGCTAAACAATTGGTGATTGATTGAATTTCGTTCAGGTAAGTTTAAGAATGCTAATAATAAATTTATTAAAATGTAGATACAGTTATTGTTTAACTTCGGGGTGTATGATGGCTACCCTTAATCCTTCTAACTTCAATCAAATCAGATCGAATTTCTATGATAAGTTTTTTTTCTGATGGTACCATAGTCTTCAACGTAAAACCACATCTTAATCATAACCCTAGCCTTTACAATAACTCTAACCCTATACCATAACCCTAGCCTTTACAATAACTCTAACCCTATACCATAACCCTAGCCTTTACAATAACTCTAACCCTATACCATAACCCTAGCCTTTACAATAACTCTAACCCTATACCATAACCCTAGCCTGTACAATAACTCTAACCCTATACCATAACCCTAGCCTTTACAATAACTCTAACCCTATACCATAACCCTAGCCTTTACAATAACTCTAACCCTATACCATAACCCTAGCCTTTACAATAACTCTAACCCTATACCATAACCCTAGCCTTTACAATAACTCTAACCCTATACCATAACCCTAGCCTTTACAATAACTCTAACCCTATACCATAACCCTAGCCTTTACAATAACTCTAACCCTATACCATAACCCTAGCTTATACCATAACCCTAGACTATACCATAATCCCAACCTATTCCATAACCCTAGCCTATACCATAACCCCAACCTATTCCATAACCCTAGCCTATACCATAACCTTAGACTATACCATAATCCCAACCTATTCCATAACCCCAACCTATTGCATAACCCTAGCTTATACCATAACCCTAGACTATACCATAATCCCAACCTATTCCATAACCAGAGGCGTAGCTAGGGGGGGGCGGGGGGGGCGGCCGCCCCGGGCGCCGCCCCTATGGGGGCGCCAAAAGGGGTGGGAAAATTTTTTTAAAGCTGATTTTATGCTGCAGTTTTGAATTATAAACTGTCTAAGTTAAGAAATGTAATGGCTACACGCATTTACATACTGATTTAACTGTTTTCTATCTTGATTTCTTAATGTAAAACATATACTCTTAAGAAACAGTGACCGGCAAAACCGCTTTGAAGCTTTTCCTAGATGGGGGGGGGGCGCTTTTTCGAGACTTAAAACGGAAGAATTTACACTAGATTGTTGAGTCGATAAACGTTACCACTATTAAAAGAAACCAATTGTATTAAAACGTATTGTACGATTGTTGAACTGTAAAATACGTTAGTGACATTTATCAAGATGGTGCAGGGGGGCGCTTTTAGGCTAAATAAAATAGCAAAATTACACAGGATTCTGAGTAAACAACCTTTAGCTCTCAGAAAGAAACGAATTGTACTGTGCATTGTATAATTGTGTAACATTTTTAAAAAAAATAATAAACCGGGAGTGATCTCCCCTAAACTTTCTCGAATATTCTTATATAAAACAACAGGGGATGGGAACTCGGACTATAGACATGATTCTTAATCCATTTTAAATACTTAAAGTTTTAAAAATAGAATAAAATCTTGTAGACAAAAGAATTGCACACCAAGTGAACGTCAAATAAAAAAGTGCATAATAGTGCGCAAAATTATTAGTACTTTAAAAATTTACATTAGTTTTTTGAGAAATCGGAAGTAGCGTAAATTACTACTTCCGGTCAATGGAAATTACTCAAAATTTAACAGAAGGTAGAGAATTAGATCTTTTACTTACATGTGAAATTTCATTTATCTATCTGTAATAGTACTCAAGCTATAGGCTTTTGAAAAATTCAAAGTAGAAAAAGTACCACTTCCGGTTATCGGAAATCGCTCAAAAGTTGATACGGATCTACGATTTTGATAAAATACTTAAATATGAAATTTCATCAACCTAGCTGTAACGGTACTCAAGTTATCGTGTTTACACACGGACAGACAGACAGACAGACACACAGACACACAGACATACGGACAGAATTGCAAAGCCCAGTTTTTCAGACTGGATTACGCATAAAACCTCTTAATTTTGATAAATCTGGATTGATAATTTTTGCCCGATTAAAATAAGTCCTCTATACTTCGGATGTGATGAAGGACTGAGGTGTAATACGGTGAAAATTGTTAAAATTTCAAGTGATTTTTGTGCACGATTACAATACTTTCTCTATACTTCGTATATACGAGAAAGTAAAAAGTTAGTTACGTTAAAAACCGCTCTACAAACTTTGTCCAAGATGGTTGTGATGAGTGTGTGTGGGGGTGGGGGGGGGCGCTTTTTTCGCTAACAAAAATCGCAAGTATTTGTACTGGATTGGTGAGTAGATAACTCTCTTAACACTTAGTAAAGAAACCAAGTGTATTAACGCGTAATGTACAATTTCAATAGCCAGTTTTGTTAAAAAAAAAAAGACGCGACTAGTTCTTTGTATGATTCTTACGATTCTCTCAACTTCAACGTGAGAGATCAGATACTTTTGATCAGTGTTTCTTCCAGACTTTTTTCTCCGGGGGGGCACTTGAAATCTTCGGGGGGACGGGGGAGGCGGTAAACTTTCTTCGGGGGGGGGGCGGACACTGTTAAAAGTATATATTTTCTATATATAAATTATATAAATTTCATTTCGTTCGGGGGGGCGTAAAAATTTTTCCGGGGGGCTTCGCCCCCCCCCCCCCCCCGAAAAGATGCCTGGAAGAAACTGTGTGCGAGAAGGCAGGGCAAATCTGCGAAATCCAAGACTACGAGCTGTTAACATCCGTTGGATTCAAGTTTGTTTTCTCTAGCTTGTTTTGTCATACCATCAACCAATCAACGAAATACCCATGTCGTATTCCAATGTGAACAATAAATATTTCTGATAACTTCTTCTTGTATGTCACATGTGTGTCCTTACTCTAACAAACTTCGAATTCAACTATGTACCATATCACAACAGAGATCGTTCAAAACTAGAACATAAAAGGCTGGTCTAAACATATTAGCGTTAGCTACAAACTACCCTCTAACACAGATCAGGCTTAATTTTTTTTACTGACATTACTAATCTTTCGCAAAAAAAGTTAAACGCATCTTAATGGGAATTAAATTGTGGTAAAGTTTTAAGGAATGAAAATCATACAATGTAATTATTAAACCTTGTCCGGACTGTAGCATACACGCTTACACACACGCTTACACACACAAATACACTCTTACCCACACACAAGCTTATATATAAACACACTATCACACACACATAATTATATACACACACACACACACACACACACACATATATATATATATATATATATATATATATATATATATATATATATATATATATATAAGCGGGGGGGGGGCGCCAAATTGAAAGTTCGCCCCGGGCGCCGGGAAGGGTCGCTACGCCTCTGTCCATAACCCCAACCTATTCCATAACCCTAGCCTATACCATAACCCTTATCTTTTGCACGAAAATGCCGATTCTGTTCATAAGATACACCATAGCAGCTGAAGTAGACTTGTGCATGTTTTACCGGCTAGGCCAAGAGAATGAACACATAGCTAGCTGTAGTCGAGGAATGTGGCTCTAACATTGTTGTGTGTAGATGTTTTGTGAGTGTGTGTATAGAGGCTGCTTTTCTTGTAAGTGTGTAGTATGTTTGTAGAGGCTGCTTCACATGTATGTTTGTAGAGGCTTCTACACATGTATGTTTGTAGAGGCTGCTACACATGTATGTGTGTAAAGGCTGCTACACATGTATGTTTGTAGCGGCTGCTTCACATGTATGTGTGTAGCGGCTGCTTCACATGTATGTGTGTAGCGGCTGCTTCACATGTATGTTTGTAGCGGCTGCTTCACATGTATGTGTGTAGCGGCTGCTTCACATGTATGTGTGTAGAGGCTGCTACATGTGTATGTGTGTAGAGGCTGCTTCATGTGTATGTTTGCGTGTGTATGTTTGTGAGTGCCTGTTATAGCAACTCAACCGGTTACGTCTGGGCCGGCTGTATGAGTAACGTTTGTATAGGCTTATATTGCTATTCTTGCCGGCTGAACCGGCTACGTGCGTGCCGGTAAAACGGTTACCGCTACCACCCAACAAGTTCAGTCCCTGCCCGGCAGAAAACAATTACCAGACCCCCCCCCCTCCACCCTCCGCATAGTTCAAATAATTGGTAATGTCGCCACAGTCCAGTTAAAAAATTCACCCCCCCCCCCCCTTCCACTCCCCGACAGGTAAAACTACTTCGTTACAGAACAGATTAGCGTCCCTTTACTATTCCGTCTGTTTCGCCGTCTGATATGTCATGGTGACCTCGCGTTGAGCACCACCACTCCCCCACCCCACAGGCCGGGGGGGGGGGTGGGGGATGCGAGAACTCGCGTGAGGGTAGGAACGTGCAGGGACGAAATTAAAAACGTAAAAAACAATATTCACAGACAGTCATTAAATAATCTTTTTCCCGAGCCTGGCTTGACATGGAGAGATGTAGAGAATGTGACGAGGGCTGCTTCAAACTGAAGGGAAGACATTGTTTAAATTGTTGCTCAACTCTATACATGCCCGCTGTAAACGTTGTCCAGTTGGTGCTGGCCGTTTGGTTTATAGCAGTGGTTCCCAACCTTTTTTGAGTGGCGACCCCCTTTCATAAAACGTAAGTGACCCGCGACCCCCATATAATTAACAAGTCGAAATTAGTTAAGAAAATAATAAGCACAAAATTAATATTTTATAGTAAACTTTCAATATGAATTATTCTTTCAATATGAATTATTCTTGATAACTGTTTTAATACGATGAGCAAAAATACATGCTATTAACAAGCATTAACTAGCATCAGGGGCGTAGCGAGGGGGGGGGGGCGGGGTGCGGACCGCACCGGGTGACACCATTTAGGGGGGTGACACCAAGGCAAAAAATAGCAAAATATATAGAGAAAAACTTGAGGGGGGAGGGGTGCAAATCGAAAGTGAGCGGGGGTGCAAATCAAAAACTTAAACGTTTTTCCCCGGGAAGGGTCGCTACGCCTCTGGGGGGGGGGGGGGGGGTGACACCATTAAGTGCCGCACCGGG